CTCAGCTGGTGTAAACCAGGACTGAATCCAGAAGAGTGACACTGATTTACACCAGTGCAGGATCTGGCCCTCAGCTGGTGTAAACCAGGATTGATTCCAGAGGAGTGACACTGATTTACACCAGCGCGGGATCTGGCCCAGTAACTCACAGACTTGTTCCCATTCCCCCACCACCCCCCCACTGAAGAGTCTTTGCCAACAGTCTGGGCCAGGGGCTGCTCTCGGTTCTGGTTCCTCACATCCTGCTACGAATTAGCCCAGAATTCGCACATACTCACCAAGCAGCAAGAGGCACAGAGACAGGAGCATCCAGGCGATAGTGGGATGGAAACAGCCCAGCAGCTTCAGTCTTTGATGCAGTGGGGAAGGGATAAAGTGATGTTGCCCCCTGCTCCGATCTGCCCCAATTTGCCCTGTCTGACTTCGGTGAAGAGAAGCTCCAGTCTCTCTCTCTCTCTGCTCCCTAGTGCTGGATGTTCCAGCCAGCCCCAGACACCTGGATTCTGCAGGGCTGGGGTAGCAGAGACACAGCAGCTTCTCTCTGCCCTGCTCTGTCTGCTCCTTGGGTCTGATACTCGTCATCGCTCCTCATTTCCTCATTTCCTGCCCCGCATGGTCCCCCTGCCGTGCTCCGGCCACAGCGTCTCTATTTAGGGCTGTGAGACTGAGAATCAAAGGGGCCTGGTTTGATTATTTCAGACAAAACTTATCACTGTAAAAGCTCCTCCCCACCCCCTGTCCTATTTTACTGTCTGGGGAGTGAGGCAGGCCCCTGGCTAAGGACACAGCTGGGCCAGGGTTAAAGGTCACTGCATAGTCAGTGAAAGGAGGCTTACAGGATCGGTTGACAAAGGCTTCCTTTGTCAGCAGATCGTCCTCTAGACTCACACGCTTTGCCGACAATCAGCTGATCCAGCACCGTGCGGCAGCCATTTCTATTTTAATGAAGCCGGAGATATTTAAATCCGGCTTCATTGACTATGTCGGGTAGCCTAGTTTACATGGCTCTCTCAGCAGAGCTGTGTAGCCTAGACGGACCCTCCCAGTGCCACAGAGAAGGGTCAATGGAAAATCAGGACTCTGAGCCTAACAGTCCTAGGGGCAATGGGGAGGGGCCAATGCCCCTGTTCAGCATGATGGACAGGGAAGGCAGGCCACTGAGGGAGCCAGGAGCCAGCAGGGTCTTGTACTCCCTGTGAGCTGGAACTGCCCTGGGGAATCCTAGAATCCCAGGGCTGGAAGAGACCTCAGGAGCCATCGAGTCCAGCTCCTTGCACGATCAACACTCCAGAGATGGATCTTCCAGGGTTTGATTTAGTGGGTCTAGTAAGGACCAGCTAAATCAAATGCTAATGGAGCCCTGCCACAGATTACAGGTCATGCCCACACTTGGCCCCTATGTCTCCAGGCAGGACTCCCCCTTTTTCAGTGCAGCAGCCCCTTCTCGGGGAGCCCACTCCACTCCAGCGGCAGTGAGACAGCCCTTCCTCAGGGAGTCCACTCCAGTGCAGCGACCCTCTCTTGGGGGGCCCACTCTCACCTGGGGGGTCCGCCCCTCCGCCTCCGGGATGATGTCTCTCAGGGCCTTCAGCCACCTGCCTCCTCTGTGAGCCCCTTCGGGGAGTCCACTCTCTCTGGATGCCTGGGGCCTCCACTCCCAGAAGGAACTGTGCCCTGGGGGTGGTGGTGCTTACAGGGTGGGGTCCGCCCCTCCGCCTCCGGGATGATGTCTCTCAGGGTCTTCAGCCACCTGCCCCTGCTGTGAGCCCCTTAGGGGGTCCCCTCCATCTGGACCCCGGGGCCTCCGCTCCCCCCTCTTCTCTAGACCAGAGCAACTATCAGCCAGCACCAAACAGGAGGGTTTATTGAGCCTTGAACACAGCAATGGGTCTCTCAGGCCAGTAGGCCTGGGCCCTCAGCCTGCACGTCAGCCTCCCCCTGCAGCCAGCCAAGCTCTCCCTGCTCTGCTCTCAGTCCCCAAAAACAACCCCCAGTCTCCCAGCAGAGCCTCCAATATCCCCAGCAACAGCCCCTCCCCTGTCCATTATTTTCTCCCCAGGCAAAAGGGTCTCCTGGGCCCCTCTCTTCACAGCCTCTTCTCCTCCGTCCAATGTTCTCCCCTCGCTGGGGTCAGCTGCGTTGGTTGCTGGGGTCCCTCTCTGCAGCCCATTTGTCTGTCCTCTGGCCAGAACCGGCTGTATCCTCCAAGCAGGGTCGGGGTCACCAGGGTACCAGACACCATGGCTCCAGCTCTGGGCTGTTCTCTGAAACAACAAACTCCCCCCCTTTGTCACAGTAAACCAGTAACTTTGTCACAGTAAACCAGTAACTTCTGGGCCCCCCTGTATGTAACACCCCCCTTTGGACTCCCAAAACTCCCCGCTTCCTGACAGCTAGTGAAATAGTTTTTCCTAATATCCAGTCTAGATCTCCCCCACTGCAACTTGAGACCATTGCTCCCCATTTTGCTACCCGTCTACTGTGAACAGCCTCTCTCTATCCTTTTTGGAATCCCACTTCAAAAAGTTGAAGGCTTCTATCAAATCCCTCTGCCCTAGTCTCTCTTCTGCAGACTAAATAAGCTCAAATTCCTCAGCCTCTCCTCATAGGTCATGTGCTTCAGCCCCCTAATCATTTTGGTCACCCTCTGCTGGATCCTCTTCAATGCATTCACATTCTTTCTAAGGGGAGAGGAGGTTCCAGAACTGGGTACAACACTCCAGGTGTGGCCTCACCATTGCTGAAGAAATAATCACTTCTTTAGATCTGCTGACAATGCTTCTCCTAATGCACCCTAATATGCTAATAGACTTTTTGGCTACAAAAGCAAACTATTGACTCGTATCCAGCTTCTCATTCACTGTAATCCCCAGATGGTTTTTAGCCAAACTGCTACTGAGCCATTTGATCCCCAGCCTGTAACAATCCTTGGGAATGCTTGTCCTTGTTAAACCTCATCAGATTTCTTTTGGCCCAATCCTCCAATTTGTCTAAGGGTGTGTCTAGACTACCTAGTTTTGTCGACAAAAGTGGACTTTTGTCGACAAAACAATACCAGCGTCTACACTACCGCGGAGTTCTGTCGACATAACGTCGACAGAACTCCGCGGTTTTGTCGACGCTGGTATACCTCATTTTACGAGGCATAACACTTTCTGTCGACAGAACTCTGTCGACAGAAGGTGTTATTGCCTGTAACACTGCGTCCAGACTACGGAGTTCTGTCGACAAAGCGGCTTGCTTTGTCGACAGAACTCCATGTGTCTGGACGCTCTTTGTCGACGGAAGTTTTGTCAACAGTATCTGTCGACAAAACTTCCGTCGACAAAACGCGGTAGTCTAGACGTACCCTAAGTCACTCTGGACCCTATCTCTGCCCTCCGGCGTATCTACCTCTCCCCCTAGCTTAGCGTCATCCGCAAACTTGCTGAGGGTGCAATCCATCCCCTCGTCCAGGTCATTAATAAAGATGTTGAACAAAACCAGTCCTAGAACCAATCCTTGGGGCACTCCAATAGAAACCGACCGCCAACTTGACATCGAGCCGTTGATCACTACCTGCTGGGTCCGGCCTTCTAGCCATCTTTCTATCCATCTGTCCATTTATCCAATCCACATTCCCTTACCTTGCTGACAAGAATATTGTGGGAGACCGTATCAAAACCTTTGCTAAAGTCAAGGTGTATCACATCCACTGACTGTCCCATCTCCACAGAGCCAGTTACCTCATCATAGAAGCTAATCAGATTGGTCAAGCGGAGCTAAGGGGGGTGCAGGAGCCCGGACTGCACTAGGAGCAGACTGCACCAGTCAGAGCCTCAGAAGCAGGCCAGGGAGCAGACCAGTGCTGGAGAACAGCTGCAGCCGGCAGAGCCAGAGAGGCCAGAGGTAGTGCAGCAGGAGGTGCTGGGGCTGGTGCTGATGCCCTGTGATGAGCAGCTGAGCGCAGTGAATATGGAGGAATCCTGAGATAATTCAGAGCAGAGGCCGAAAGTCAGAGCACATCCCTGGTCAGGAGGCCTTGCAGGCCAGACTTGGGGAGTGGGAGAAATCGCTCTGCCATGGGGGTGAAACTGGAGAGAAGGATCCTGCCACTTAAAGCCTGGGGCGTGTGACCACTGGCAGAGCACATGCCCGGCCCGCAGCATGGGCAGATGGGCCCAGCCTTGTCAGGGTTACAAGGATTCTGCTGCACGGAGCGGAAGGGAAGTTCCCACGGTCAGACAGGCCTCTGGGTACAGGACTCAGATCCTTTCCCTAGCCTATACCGCTGGGGTAGTGTCTAACCAGGAAACTTCCCTGTAATAGTGGAATCCTTCCCCTCTCAGGCTACGTCTGCTTGCAGAGCGTCCACACTGCATGTGTGTTTTTGTGCAGGTAAATGTGCAGCAAATCAACAGAAGAATCCTAGGGCTTTTTTGGGGGGTGAGGGGAGGAGAAGGGAGGGTTTGGCTCAGCAACTTTGGTCCCTTTTTTTGTTTGCTTAAGCAACTTTTTTCCTTCCAGGTTCAGTATTTCTTCTGAAACTAGCTGTCAGCCCTACCTGCAGGCGGCATGTTGAGCCCTGCAAAAAACGAAACTGCACCATGGGCCGCAAGCAAACAGGCTTGAGTGGCCCTGAACTAAGGGGTGAATTTATCCCACGGCACTTACACCACCGTCAGTCTCTGTAATGCTGGGCCTGCTGTAAGAGCCTTTTCTTGGTTTAGTGCATTTCGTTTTGAAAGCAATAGTGATAAGGCATCAATTTTTAATACTGAGGATAATGAATTAGGAGAAACACTTACTCCAGGCTCGGATGGAATCTCCATTTTAAAATCCAGGGAGGATGTTTTCTCAAAGAGAAGCTCTAGTTCAAACTAGATTTACTTTGGGGCAGGTCTGTGGGTATGTCTACACTACAGCACTAATCGAACTAACTTAATTCGAATTAGTTAATTCGAACTAAGCTAATTCGAACTAGTGCATCTAGACCTAAAAACTAGTTCGAATTGGCATTTTGCTAATTCGAACTAGCATGTCCACATTGAGTGGACCCTGAACCGGGCTTAAGCAGTGCCGGCAGGGCATCAGATTAGGACTTAGAGCGTGAAGCTGCTGTCTCAGGCTAGCCGAGGGCTGTGCTTAAAGGGACCCGACCCCCACCCCGGACAGACAGTTCTCAGGGGTTCCCCGCTTGCAAAGCAGTCCTGGCTTGGAGTGCCCTGAGTGCCCACACTCGGCACATCACAGCACTCGGCCATCAGCCCGGCTGCACTTGCCACAGACTGCCATCCGGGAGGGTCAGTCGGGGGGACTGCAGGAGAGCTTCCACTCTGAGGAGCCCGCAGAGCCACCCCAGTCCTCCTCATTGGGGGCTCGTACCCCATTCCTCCCTCACCTCCTTCCAATTACCCTTCCCTAGCCCCCCTTCCTGATGTACAAAATAAAGGACACGTGTGTTCAAAAAAAGAAACTCTCTTTATTTAACAAAACTGGGGGAGACTGGGAAAAGGAGGTGGGAGGGTGAAGAGAGAGGGTGGGAGAGGGGAGGGCAACTAAAATGATTAGGGGTTTGGAACAGATCCCATAT